CATGCTGGTGTAAACGCGGCGTGTCGCTGGTGAGCGGGATGATTGGTGGCCTGGTATCATGGGATAGCTGTTCGGAGCTGGACTCAGAAGGCCAGTTACGGGAAAGAGCTTTTCGTGGCAGGCGCAGTGTTTTGTCATCATCATCGTCATCATTATATTCATACATTACACATCATCATAATGAATCATCATACATACAACCGACATGCGTGTCTGGCAATGGACCACTATTTAGTCATGGTCTGGCTCCAACCTTTGTGATACATTGCTACCCCAAAAACATGTTACCGTACATGTTACCGACAAACGGTTCATCCCTCAGTTTCGTTTTCGTTTGGAACCCTTTTGTTACAATGCTTACTCCTACTATGCTTTCGGCCGTTTTGTCGTCTAATTTGTTTGAAAAACAAACAACATGAAAAAAAGGCGGTCGCAAGAAGGGCTTGACGTGCGCAGGTGCATGTGTTTCCACCACCGTTGGAACAATTGATTCTTGCGCTGCTCCTGATACTAGTCATATTGCCGGCGTGGCGAATGTACATACTTCCCAGGGCCACTTGCGCTTTCCTTTGTGAAACTGAAAACGCATACCAGCGCGAGCAATACTTCTTTTGGCACGAATCGAGTGCTTCTAGTGGCAGATGCAGACTCTTCGGATCCAAGGTGATGTACGATTATTTGAAAAAGGCGAAGACACAGTCGATGATGGGCGCTCAGCAGGAAACTCTAGATGCTGGTCTCAAGGTCATCAGTAGCTGTTTGGACTTTGCTTTCCCCTGTTCAGCTGCAAGCCACATATCCACTGCGCGCTGACTTGATATTTGATTGTTCGTTGTCCTGTTGACAGGCAGCGTGTTTTGTAGACCCGCGACCGGCTTGGGGAGCCTGCGCCCTGGGGTTTGAGGAAGGTGGGTATACGTGTAACGTAGGCGCCGACCGGACTTTCTGTACTGAGTTTTTCGCGCGAGAACTACACTTAGTCCAACCTCAACCAAGGGAAAACTACAGTATAATGAGAAACAAGAATGTTCACGCTCCACAGTTCCATGCAGTCATGCTGACGTGCGCGCTTACATACAACCCCACAGGCCCGCTGTGCAAGGAAAAGGCTGCGTGGTAGCGGAGCTGTGAAGGCCATTCGCGCGTGTCTGGCTGGAGCTCCTGCGGACTTTTGGAGACAGAAGCCAGGTCTCCCGATCAGCCTCGCCTAGCTTCCACAAACTGGTTGTCGCATATCGCTAGCCCTCAGAGCCGGTGATTACCTAAGGGTATCTTCACCTTTGCTATCACGCCCCTTTCACCTTTGTCCCTGAAGAGTTGGACGGAATCTATTCACTGAAGGCAAGGAGGTCTTGGAAATAGCTGCTTTTGACTTGCAACAGCGTAGGCGGCGTTTCAAGCGGCGACTCAAGCAGCGCAGCCAGTAGCAGCAGGACGAAGTAGCTGTGGTGACTGGAGCTCAGTGATCAAGAAAGATCTTGCAAAGCTGATCCCAAGGCCAGCGACATTCCATCCCGCAGACAGTAGAGAGACCGGTAAGGGAGCCTCAAGCTGTCGAGCAACCACACCTAGGTATGGTGGACAGTACGTTCCAAGATGAGTTGGCCAAGCTGGAAGAGCATTTGTCGACAGAAGTTGATTGGGAGTTGTTAGATGCGAAGGGGCAAGAGAGAGCAAGATTCCTCTACCGTTTGCCGGGAGGACTTGTTCAAGGCCGCTTCATTGGCGCCATCCAGAACGTGGACAACTACGATGGACATGAGGCCTTGAGACAGCTCCCAATAAACTGTCAACCTCAAGCGAGGAATCGGGCAATCACTCTCTTGCGGCGTCGTGGCGTACCCATTGTTCAACGTGAAGCTGACGACTTTGCCACAACTGTTGAAACTTGAGGAGCACTCCAGCCAGTACGAAAAGCTTGGATGTAGGTTGGTCCCAGATATGAACGGCGTCAGTCTTGTTGAAGATCATTGGCGTCCTTTGAAGACACGCCTCAATCTGACGCTCAACGAAGGAAGATATCAGGCCGCAGCGCTCAGTTTTACAAGTACGAGCCCAATGACGCAGCAAGTTGACAAAGGTCTAATGCCCATGGAGGTCGACAGAGGTAGCAAAAGGGAAAAGGAGACCAGAAAGGAAAGGGGAAAGGCAAAGACCCCAAAGAAAAAGGGAAGTCGAAACATGACAAAGGCAAAGGGAAAGGAAACGCCCAGTGGAAAGTGGACACAAGGGGCATCAGAAATGAAAAAAAGGGAAAAGATTCTAAAGGAAAGGGTAAGAGTGCCCAAGAAGTTTGCTGGACGGCCAGTCGACAGTTTCGCAAGTCACTCCAACGAGTGATGGGAAGTCAGCAGCGACCACAGCAAAGGCGATTCGACGAGCTTCGCAACCTTTGATTTTTGATTTGAGATGCTTGGATGATGAGACCTCAGGCGCAATTCGTGTTGTGGAGTTTTACAACGTCTGCGCAGACGACGAGGATGAGGTGGTTCAATCCATCAAGGTGGTACAGGGCCACATGGGTGAGATGCACATGGTGGTGATGTTGGCAAAAACGAAAGGGTGGAACGGCCAATTACATTTGCATCCGTTCTTTACAGAGCATGGCGCCGCCTCCGAAAGGATATCCTTGACGCCTGGCAAACTACGCTCCCAGCCACCGTGGACTACGACAAGGCTCGACCAGGCGCCACAGCGCTCCATGTGGCACTTGCCAGACTGACGCGGCAGGAAATGGACAGAGGCGCCTTCTTTGACTTGTCCTGGCCTTGAGTTTGCCACGCAACTCTACACCGGTCCCAAAACCATGGTGGGAGGGGCGCCCTCAGGCACCTCTGCTAAAAGCTTGCCCCGGCATTGCAACCTTTTGTGCGACGACGCCCCAACCTCCATCTCAACGGCTGTGAGGACAACGCCTGGCGCACGCCATTCAGGCCTGGCAAGCTCCATGCCAGCCACCAGCCGGGCTTTGACCGCAACGCCTTGGGCCGGAGGACCTGCCAGTGGCAACAGTCACAACAAAGGCCCACAAATACCAAGACCTGCAGACCAAGTTGTCATTCCACACCCTAGTCCAGCACTGGCCACTGGACCGTCTCCAACATGTTGAAGCCGCCTGGCGCGACATCTATGATCACCTCAGCAAACCATGTAAAGGGCCCATTGTCCGGGTGGTCTGGCGCCGTCTGTAGGCCCTCAATCACCTGATTGACGCGGCCTTCAAGGACTTTGATGGACGCGGACCTGACAGGCTTGCGCTGCATCCGGCGTGGATTGGCGAATGAGATTCGCACCTTTTGATTTTGCTTGGTGGTACGGCCGGCTCGTTTGACAGGCTTGTCACGGATATAGCGCTGTGGATCCTTGAGGATAGCCGTCAGCCTGTCCACTGCGTGGGCGTATAATGCATGGCCCCATGACCCTCATCCAAGGTGGGTTGTTAGTCTTCCTTGCTGCGGTCATAGACGGCGTTGCCTACGTCGAAGATGCCGCTCGGTGCATGGTGCATCCGGGTTGTTTGCTGTTTGCTGATGTAAAGGGGTGTGACCTCGGCAAAGAACTGCTCGGAGTAGCCACTCGCTTCCCAGACTGGTGGACGATGACCGTGACCGTAACGGCGACGTGATGCGATGGGCCAAAGCACATGGCCTCGGAACCATGGCCCTTCCTTTGCTCTGACAGGCCACTTACGGCGCCTTCCCTTGGCAATTGGCCGCGGAGTACGCGCGCGCAAGACGTCGCAACCTCTGCGGGCCTTCTCCGTTTTCACCGTTTTGTACAGGCTGCCATTCCACATGGCTGACGTGTCCTACCCTAATTTCCTGGGTAGGTTGACGTCCTATTTTATGGTCACAGAACTCCTGCTAAGGTCCCGCTACGCCAAAGCAAGATCCACATTGTGATCGGGTCGGCTGAGCTGGGCGCGGGCGCCCGCACCACCCAATGCGACGGCCAATCCTTGGTATGCCTGGACATCAAAAGCTAAAGGGCTTGGTCTGGCGGTTTTTGCGGGGCCCAGACAAAGGACCACAGCGGATCTTCATCTTTGTTGCGGATGCGCTCAGCCCAGGACACCGGCATCGGAGCGCCACTTGCGCAACCATATGATATGCTTTGGCGTGGCCGGAACATTGCGTATTGGGCAGGTCTTCACGTGGGTCCCGGTTTTGTGGTGGATGGCAGCTTGGCTCCAAGCCACAAGATGCTTGCAGAGAGGTCTTGAGGCCAGGGTATGGGCGCGTTTTGACGGAGGGCGCCCTCAACTTGCCACCGCGCGTCCCATCTCAGGAGGGGCGAGCAATTTCACTTCGTGGCTTGGGGCAGCGAGCTCAGATTCCAAACTTCCGCCAGCGTGACGTCAGTCTCCTTACCCGTCAGCAAGAAGCCCGCTCACGCTCAAATCATTCCTGAAACGCAGGTGCAGGCCGAACACCCACCAGCCCAGAATGAACAATGCCTTCCAGGAGACCAAAGGCTACTTCAAACGTGCCAAGTGCAACGTCCCCCAGCACACAAGCGAGCCAATGAGGAGACTTTCAATGTCAGGTTTGAGGTTGCTCGTGCGGAGATCCCAAGCGCTACACTCTAACCTCACTGGAGGCACCGCCCGGGATTTCATGAACTACCGCCAGCTCAAGAACGGAAAGGCTACCTCCAGGACTCCAGGACTCTTTGCGCGGGACCTCAACCTCAAGGGACCCTGACGCCATGCGCTGGTGCCGCACCACTGCCTTTGACGCAGGCCTGTTCGTGGTCGGCGCCAAGCGACCTTTCGCTTGCTTTCTGAGGCCTTGTTGCTCAGGTACTTGCGTCGCCGCGATGACTGGACGCTGAGGCCGTTCGTGCATGTTTTGCGCAGGGCGCAACTGCTCCAAGTGGATTTGGCAAGATAAAGCTGAACCAGGATTTCCACGCAGATCATGCGGAACCATGTGGGCCACTGCGCGTAAAACCCCTTTACTTATATACGTATGAAGTTTTTTAACGTTTCTTATGTATCAATTTGTTATATATTAAAAACATGCGTGAAACAATAACCAAAGCTTATGTGCCCACACAATGTAGGCAATGAACAAGGACGTCTCAATCTGAAGGCGGAAGAGAGGGATCTCTGGGGTGGAAACAAAAAACGCATAAAGAGCATTTGGCAAAGGCTGGGAGGGGGGGTCGAGCAAAAAAACAAAATATATTTTGTTGCTTTTATATTTTTAAGCGTTTGGCAAAGGCTGGGAGGGGGGGTCGAGCAAAAAGAGCAAAAAGAACAGAACAATAGCTTATTTATATATATATATTTTTTTTTGTTCTTTTTGCTCGACCCCCCCTCCAGATCCAGATTAGAAGCCTCTGGAAAAGGCTAGGAGGGAGGATTGACCGACTGGTCGACCCTCCCCGCTCCAGATTAGCATCCTGTGGCAAAGGCTGAGAGGGAGGGTCTACAAAAAATGGGTCGAGCCCCGCTTTGAGATTAGGGTTCTTTGGCAAAGGCTGGCAAGTCTAGTAGAGCAGAGTGATAAATGCAAGTTTCTTAAATTTGAAGCGACCTCTCACAATTTCTGAAATGTATACAATTCACTTTAAACTGAAGCATGCTGGTATTACAGTATAGTGTGTTAAGATTGATGCTTTCACCATCAAAGCTGAAGATCAAAAGAGCCCGAGTGAGTGGCTTTTATGAATAAGATTGGAGGCTGGAGAGTGAGCAAGTATGTGAATATTAAATTGCCTGATGA